AAACTGGATCACTCACCAGAATTTAAATATCATCAGCAAAAGCGATGACAGTAAAATCATCAAGTATAAAATCATTAAAATTATTAAAATCAGTATTATTAAAATGCGTAAAAATGGAATTAATTAAAATTAACCATAAAATTGGTCCCAGGTAAGAGCCCTGAGGCACACCCAAGTTTATGTTTTTATCAATAATTTTAGACCCCTCTCTGTTAGTATAGATCGCGGAACGAGAGTTGAGAAAGTTAAATATGCAGCCGGTAATATTATCTGGTAAATTCAAAGTATTAATGGTGTTTTTCAAAATTTCCCAGTCTGCGTTGTTAAAAGCATTTTCAATATCCACAGCCACACCCAGAGTATGTTTTTTTTCCTTCTTTTTTTTCGATACATGGTATACTAGTTTCCTAATTGCCTCATCTGCACCCCTCCCGGCTCTGAAACCAAATTGGTTTGGATGTAACAAGTTTCTGGACTCTAGGTGATAAACTACTCTTTTGGTTAACAATTTGCCCAATATCTTTCCCCAGACCGAAAGAAGTGAGATAGGCCGATAAGAACTCGAAACGTGAGGGTTTTTATTCGGTTTTTGAATGAGAGTGACTCTGGCTATTTTCCAAGGTCTTGGAAAATATCTTAAATTTAAACATATGTTAAACAGCTTCAATAACCAATTTTCATTAACGTAAAAGATGTCTTTAAATATTTCGTTAGGTATGCCATCAGGACCTGGTGACTTTTCTGGTTTAAGTTTGTTAATAACGAGTCTCAGTTCATCAGCACTGAAATCTGGATCAGAAAGGCCAGTGTTGTTTTGTAACACATTTTCACTTGGCACCTCAGGGAAGTGGTGGTGCATAATTTCCTCAATAGTGTTGTTATAACTATCTGTTTGTTGTCCGTTATTTACTATTGGAAAGTTTACTGATTGATGACCCAAAGAGCCCTTCGCAATTTTGTATGGAGCTCCGAAAGCTTTCCCAGAAGGAAGATTATTGATATATTGTTGAAGGTCGACCGCTTTTGCCTGTCGAATAGCTTTTTTATACCTAGCATAAGTTAATTTAAATTTGGCCCTATATTTCATTTTAGTATCCGGGTTGTTCTCCCTCTGAAACTTCCTTCTAAGGGTCCTGGTTAATTTCCTCATACTTCCCAAACCAGGAGCAATGCTTATGATAATTATAATTTGTTTTTCGGACCATGACCTTACCACATGCCATTTTATTATCATAATTAATTTTAGTGATGAAATTGTCAATATTTTTTCAGTACTGTCTAGATCCTCAACACTGTTTTGTTCAACAATCTCGGCAATCTTAATTTTAAGGCTAAGCCAGTCAATTCGTTTGTACCTTATGTTATTTTGTGAATTCATATAACTATACTTCTTAAGCTTAATAGTTGTCATAATAAAGTCATGATCCGAACATGAGACCCCGTCATGGACTCTATAATCACCAATTTGTTCAAAATTTGCAGCAATGATATCTATCCAACTCTGTCCGAGGAGAGAGTTGTAAGTGGGAGGGGAATCGGGATTGTTAACAACATTTAAGTTATGCCTTTGTAATAAGTCCATGACGGCTTCTCCTCTGGCATCACTCCTGGGTCCTCAAGCCATTTATTTGGCATTTAGATCTCCGCATAGCACTATTTTTTTGTTCCCAGAGGCCACCAAGATTGATTCAAGATTTGTTAAAAAATTTAGAATACAATCACTTGGTGAGCAGTAAGCTGAAATAAATGTATAAGTGTCACTATTTAACTTGAAACCGATAACACAAATATCTCTAGTTGCACATACCAAGAAAATGCCCTGTACATCTGGGGGAACCACAATAGCTGCTCTAGGTCTGTCTCTATCATGTATGACGCTGAATCTGTTGGGAAAGCCAGTGATGATGTTGTCCTTATTAAAGTAAGGTTCATTTAAATTCGCTAGTTTAAGATTCTGCTCTATGAAATGTTCACAAAATTGAATATTTGCGATTCGACTATGATGCAAGTTAATGTGTCCCAAGTTAGTGTCATTTAGTGTGTTACAGTTCATAGTCTGTCCTTTTCATCTGTATTTTCAGTGCTCTGAGGTACTGTGTGCATTCCTTGTCAAGCGGTCGGTGCTCGACGTCCAATGCGTGTTTAAACTTTTCATTTGCATCATGACAGTGTTTGCAGAAATTTTCCTCTTCACACTCATTCTCCCTGTGTTCTGCCGAAGAACATCCCCTACATATTTTCGGGTTCTTGCAATCTCTCGCAACGTGACCAATTCCCGCACATCTATAGCACTGTCTAATTCCGAAAGTTTCTTCAAACTTATATCTCTTCTTGCCAATATTAATTTTTTCCTTATATTTAAGCAATCTGAAAGTATTAGGTTCAACCTCTATGATTCTATGTGATTTACCTTTCCTAGCCTTAAGTTTAGCCATTACCTTTATTTCTCCGTTTTCCATCTCCTAATTTTGCTTGGTTAAGTGATCCTGTACCTCCTCTGTAGTAAGCTCCTCGTCAACTCCAAGTAAGTTGATTCTCGGCCATTTCAATTTAGGTGGCTCACAGGCACTCTCTATTTCTTTCTTCATTGCGTCCAGACCCTCTGCAGTATCTGTTTCTATAATTACTCCTCCTTCTCTGATGTTTGATACTCTCTTAATTCCCACTCTAATGTTTCCTGGATTTAAACATGACAGTAGGGCTGCTTTAGTAGTGGCCGAGTCTCCTCCACCATTCAATGGTCTGATAACTGCAACATGTTCCCTTGGGACTTGAGATTGGCCCGAGTGACCTCTTGTTAACACTTCGGCATATGATTTCCTGTTTCTATAATTACTTCGAGATTGGTCTTCTATTATCGGATCAAGTACTGTTTGGTTTACATTACATACGTCATCTACTCTTGATCTTAATAAGGCTATTTTGGTGTCCTGCGATGCTATTAAACACATCAATTCGTTCAATGCTCCAATAAAAGTCTCTTTATCACTTTTTGTTAGATCCCGGTATATCACTGCATAAATGAAAGCTTTATGTATACGTTCCTATAAGACTAACACACGAATGATTACTTAACTTGACTTAAATTGGATCAAATAATGATAAATCTGAAATACTCGATACTTTCAGTTAGTTAATTTTTCAATTACTGAACAAAACTTTAAAGGTGCTATTTTGGTTCTCTCATTTTTCCATCTTTCCAGCCGTGTCTCTATAGTTAAGGTCTACTATACTGTTTATTGATAATAAATCAGTTATGGACTATAACTTAATAATGCACTCCGCCCTATTTCCGGCTGCCGATATGTTAACAAGATAGATACGCCATATATACGATTTCGACCAGATGACAGTTTTACGTAAACTGATCTTATAGAGCATAACCACTTTACTATATCCGGACACCTTTTTTAAAAACCTAGTTGAAGCCGTTCGAAAATTAAGAAAGCAGATACGGCCGTAATTGAACATGTTGCATACTAACTTTATTACAGAGCTTATAAAAATATGCATTGGTAATGACATAAATCTGCATTGGTACATAATATTTGAATAAGTTTCACCATATGAAATTTTTTGAGGGAATCTTGGTGGGATTAAGGAGAATGAATATTGACATTTATTAATTGAAATAAGAATTTCATTATACCAAGAAAGATATTTTGATAACAAATCAATGCATTTGATAACCATCATTTAATTTGATTTATTTAATAAATATTTTGATTTTTTTTTGTTTTATCTGTAACAAAAAATTTTAATGGCAACTTTAAATGTGCTTTAAATGGTCACTTTAAATGCTAAATGGGTTTTTCCAACTTTAAATGGTCATAACAATAGCTTAAAAAAAAATTCAAAATAAAAAGTAATATTTTTAAAAACCACGTTTTAGTAGTGGAGAATAATAATTAAGANAAAAATTTGGTAGTAAAATTTCTGTATGAATGTTTGAAAACTGCTTTATCTTAATTAATATTCTTAGAAGAGAGATCCTTCTCAGGAATTCTATTACAGCGATATTTTTGTTTTTTAAAAAAGTAAAAAAGTGAGTTTTCTCATGTTCTTATAGGAGTTTTGATATCAGTTTTTCATCTTTTTGAAGACGCCATAGAAATAAGCAATTTATGCTATGTCTATTTAACTCAGTATGTCTTTTTAATTCAAATATTTATATATGTCAGCATTTTCAAACGCATATCAAATTTTGCTCACTTTTTTTAAACGCGCAACAAAAATGGCTCTCACTGATTTTTTTTTTTTAAATAAAATAAATAAAATAGCAATTTTTTATAATTATTCAGTTTGTTAATATTAACATGTTTTACCAATATTAAAACCTATATTTAGGTTAACATCTTTTTTAATTATTCCACTTCATTTTTAATTACTTAATTATTAAAAAAATGATCATTTTTTCTTGAAATTGTGCATGTGTTATCTAGTGTATTTTAAGAAAAATATTTTTTGAATTTGAAAAAATAATTAAGTGCGCGGATTGTTTTCAAAATGGAATTGCTTTGAAAAATAATGTGCACCAAAATAATTTTAAAAGTCTTATTTTCTTATTATTCTAAATTAACTTTTTTATCATTATGGCTCAGTGGTTGCGACACCGTGCTACCATCGTGAAGATCTCGGGTTCTATCCCAGGTCGCAGTTTGAACTCCACGCGATCGGTCAATATTGCTAACCACACTGCCACCATCATGCCGATGGTCACAAAATATTTGAAACCCCAACCTTTCTCCTAATAAGTTGTTGCATTATTTTTTACTTTTTAAGACTTTTATTTTGTTCTTCCCTTTTTTCCTAAGTTGAATCATATAAACAGAATTATTATTTAGACATAGAAGCGTTTAAGAAATAAATTATAAATTGCCATCTGGGTGAAAGGTTTCTTCAAAAAATTGCTCTACGAAATTGAAACTTTGCTTAAACTTTTTCGTTGAATAAAATTATAAATTATAATCACACAGTACTATAATTTGAATTTGACTCACCTTCAAACGTTTTCAACTTAAATAAGTTCTAAAACATTACAGGCTTAAAAAAATCTGAATCTGAAAAATGAACATTCATTTTAGAATGAAATGAAGCAAAATATAACATCATAACACTTTATAATGCGAGGAAAAGCAAATTACACCATAGCTACGTCATAATTTTATAACACATGCAACGCTGGAATCTTCAAATTCACTCGTAAAATTTCTTAGTGTCTTTCTAACGGTAAACTTGGTGTTATTGTTATTCCACTTGATTCGAATCTAGTTTAATTTTAAAATTGCGACACATGAAAATATGACTTGCATTTTTATGTTTTGAAGGTTTTATTTATCATGATTAAAATTACTTGTTTGAAAATGATTGATATTGCTAATTTCTTGATATTATGGGAAGTATACATTTTTTAAGACTTATTTCTGTCACTGTCATCATTAAAGCGTGTTCAAGGAAATAACTGCTGACATCTATTGATAAATGAATTTGCAAAAAAAACTAACTAAAATGAACTATAATGAATTAACTAAAATGAACTAAAATGAATGTGCAACTTTTAACTAAAATGAATTTAACTAAAACGAATTTGCAAAAAAAAAAAAAAAATGCATTATTTTATCGTATTAATTTTTGAAAATACAAATAATAAATTACTTGAAATAATATAGTAAGAGCTTTAACCTTCATAAATAATATTACTGGGGCCTCTCTTGTAATCTTAATCTAAAAACTGCCAAAGAGCTAGTTTATTGAAACTATTATATTTTTGAAAATGAAAATAATAATAGACCTGATATAGTATTAATCGAGTTAAAATTTTTATATCAGAGTCATAACTTTTTATATTACTCTCAAAGTTGCCAAAGAGAACCATACATGTTTCATAGTATTCTATAGGTATGTGTTAATTCTATTAGGTATATGCTTAATGCAACTAGCATATTTTGTAAAAGGTTCAGTAAAAAACTTTTGTAAAAGGTTGTTGGTTCAGTAAAAAACAAAATCTCTAATAGTATTGATACGTGTAATTTTAGTATGACATTATCTAACAGGTAAATTGTAATGCTAAATAGTTTAATCCCTCTTAAACTTGATTTCACGATACAGTATAACTTGAACGTAAACATTGGTCAATGTAACACATTATTATGGTTATGTTTAGCTTGAACTATCATGGTTCTAAGCGTTGTATCATTTCAGAAGTTCAATAATATAGTACAACTTGGCACCACACTAAAGTTGTAGTAAATTTGAGCAACATTTTAGTTTAACACTTGACGAAATCTCTACTAATGTAGATACATGTAAATTTAATGTAATGTTTACATTCGCCTCTGGCAAGTCTCGTGAATGAGCGCTTATTTTTGATTGCTTGAACTGTGTTGACATTTGCTTCCATCTGCTTGTTTTTCAAGCAAAAGAAGTTTTTTAATCAAATAATAGCCTTTACCTATAATATTCAAATCAACTCGAGTATGGGCGAAATTAACTTTTACAAACTAAGCTTGAAACTTGAAGTGACGAAAAAGTCGCTTTTGTTCAAAAACTTAACTCAAGTGTATTTTTTTTTTAAATTTCAATTTGTTTTAAAGTATTGCATTAAGTACTTTTCTTTGCGAATTTTTTGAAGCAGTTTCACTTTGCTTGCTTTTGTTTCGCTTTGTTTAAGGAGCTTGATATAATAGGGAAAGTTAAAATTCAATTACTAGTTTGAGAATTAAAAAGAAACATAATGGTAAAAAAATAGTTAAAAAAACATATTGGTCGATCTATAGATGAAATGCAACTTGACAATTGAAATTTAACGAGCTTAAAGGGCCATTTTTAAACTTCATTTAATTATTTTTTTCGAAATTCGTTGTAGTTTCAAGTTTTTTTTTTTTTTTTTTTGCTAATTGTTTTGCATTGAATAATGATTGTTAATCCAGTTGTTAAAAAATTCCTCTCTCTATCTTGAAATTTTCATTTTAACCTCTCGAATTTGACTTAGTGTGAAAAGTAATAAAAAACGATTGAATAAGAAAAATAAAAGAAAGATATTAGATTTTGCCAGACATAAAGTTTTTTTCAAAAATAAATCGAAATTTTGCAAAAACACTAAAGTTCTAGCAAGATGAATCATTTCCAATTTAAACTGTCATGCAATATAAGGTTATCGTTAAAGATTGTTAACATGCTTCGCTGAATAAGGGAAAAGAAGTTATCACTAGTCTGTGCTAGTTTCAGCGTTGAAGAACATGCTATTTCACTGCTGCCATTTCGATATAAGGGTTAGTTAATTTGGTTTTTATTATTGCAATTTTAAGCTTTAGTCATATCAGTTTCTTACATTTCAATTTCTATTTTGTTTCTGATTTTGGTGATTCTATTGTTTACACTAAATTGTTGGGTATCAGTGAACTTATAACATTATGCATGCAGTTTTTCAAATATGCAAATGGACAAAAAACGTTTTTTCCCATTAAAAAATTTTAATTGATTTTTTTCTGTAATTTTTGACCAATTCTGCAATTTAAAAAAAATCTTTATTCTTGTATTTAAAAAAATATTAATTGAAGGGTTTAAAAGTAAAATTATTTCTCAACTACTTCGACTTTTTGTGCAGCACTTTCTATATTCCCGATTTTAAATAATTTTTCAAGTAAAATTTAAATTTTTAAATCCGTGTAATAATTCATTTCGTTACAATTATTGACAAAATGTTTTTATCTACAATTGCAATTAAGTTATATTTTATAAATACAATCTTTTCTTTAAAAAACATATCTTTTATGGGGAAAAAGGTAAATGAGAGACCACTACGTGGGTTGTGAGCTGGGCGCAGAGTTGGCCGTCGATTACAGTAATCGATTACAACTGTAATTGATTACATATAATTACAGCTATGTAATTAATTACTTGTAATCACGATTACAAGTAATCAAAATTTTTGATTACATCAGAGTAGAGCGAAAATGTAATCGATTACATTTTTCAATCACAGTAATCAATTANTGTAATCATGATTCCAAGTAATTGCGATTGCAAGTAATCACAACAAAAACGATTACGGGTAATTATGATTACAAGTAATCGAAATATATGATTACATGTAATCATGATTCCAAGTAATTGCGATTGCAAGTAATCACAACAAAAACGATTACGGGTAATTATAATTACAAGTAATCAAAATATATGATTACATGTAATCATGATTACATGTAATTTGATTACATGTAATTGTGATTGCACGCAATCAAACTATGCGATTACAAGTTATTACGATTGTATACTATATGCAAATTCATTATGTAAGTATGTATGAGTCTACATATTTTTATGTACATGGAATGTACGCACGCATGAATGTACAATTTGTGATTCCTATATATACAATGTATGCACAAACATTGTTTGTGCGTACAATATACATAATTATATTGTAATATACTTAATGCAATGCGTAAATGCTTAGTACATATGATTTTTGTATTTATGATACATGTACGCATGTATGTTAGTTTGAGCGAAAATGCAATGTTTTGTATCTTTGTATACAAAGACAATATATGTATGAGCGTATATGAAAATAATGTTTATACGTTTGCATGATTTTATGTACTTAAGTACTTACGTTGTATCAATTTACAATAATTACACGTATATACAATGTACGTATGTATATAGGATTTTACGTATTTACGTATAATATGTGAGAACGTTGTTTAAAGGTACAATGTATGCATATAGTTGCGAAAATAAAATGCATACATGTATGAATGCACATTTATATGTACATCGATATATGTACACGCAAAGTATGTACTTAAGTACAACGTACATATGTACTTACGTGCAACGTACGTATATACTTATGTACAACGTACGTATGTACTTGTATAAGTACATGCTTTGTTAATACTTATGCACATCTAATGTATGGATGTACAAAAAAATAGTTATATGCACAATGTACGTATGTACATACAACGTGTACATGTACATAATTACAATTAATGTATAAATACATGCGTAGATTTAAATATATGTAATTACAATATACACATACATTGAGCATGCATTAAAAAAATTTATATAAGTAAAGTTATTAAAGTTTGTTATAAAATTTATTCTAAGGCATATAATACTCGACCTCATATTTTTTAGAAAGCAAACGATAGTCTTATTTTAAATTTCTAAGCATTATTTCCACACATAAAATTTACAGTTTTTTTGCCATTTAAAAAATTTCTATGAACCATGCATTATGTTATAAAAAATAAATAAGTATTGTCGAACATTTCATGAAATACCTGAAAATAATTTTTTATTCAGAGAATTTTAAAATTATATAGAACAATTAAATCTGAAAACTAAATTTAAATATCGTTTGATTTTATCATTTAACTTGCTTGAGTCATTATAAGTTAACTTACATGTATTTTACTTATTGCATTGTACACATATTTAGACATAAATGTAATGTACATATGTATACGTGTAATGTATGTATGTGCAATGTATGTACATACATTCATGTATTGTACAAGCATATATAGTACCTATGGATATGCATACATGGAACATACGCGCATTTTACGTGTGTAGATACATTCATTGGACATATATACATTGCACCATATGCATAGATTGGGATAGCATGCATGTACACATGTAAAATTTGTACGAAAGAATTATGTCCAATATATTTATGCACATATGTACTGCATATGTGCACACATATGTACTGTATATGTACACACATATGTGCATTATATGAACATTATACGTTCATTTCGTCATATGTACATTATATGAATATACCTGTACACTATATGTATATACATCTGTACAATATATGAGTTTATTTGTATCTCGACTCTCCCAATGTACGTACAATCGTACACAAATATATCATGCATATTTGGATACATTGACCATGGATATATTGTGTATATGTACATCCATACATTGGACATGCATATCATGTACATGTATACATACATACATTGTACATACTACATATATACCTATATTGTACATGCATACATATATTATACTGTTCATAAATAAATTGTACATGCATGCATGGGACATACATTGTACAGACAATGTATGTATGCTTGCACAAACAACAAGTACTTGTATATACATGACTACATAAACATAAATATACATTTTACATACACAAATATTTGCATAAAATGCATATATTCATTGTGTATAAATGCACATGTGTACATTGTTTGCACATAC